TAATTGTGGCCTGCTTTTCAGAACTGTCAAGCCTGAACAGGTCCATTTTAAAATCCCTAAAGGTTTCAAATCATCATTGCTTTGCTGCTTATGGCAGGACTTGTTCAGAAATGGGAGAAGATATTCCCTAGAGACATCCCCACTTTGAAACAACACAGTTCTCTACCCATCAAAACAGACCTGTTAGGGAAAGGCTTCCTAGTCTGTAGTTTGGTTTTCCATGCGCTGCAAAAAATAAACAAGATTAATAGTGCAATGTAGATGTAAGAGAGTCTGTGCCATGGACATATTTGTCAAAAACTTCAGGGGAATGTCTGTATTTCTTAATGTATTGCTAGTGAATGTTTAATCTACAAAAATAAACTCTATTAAGATCCAATATATATTTGCCTAATTGTTAAAGAAAAACTGCTCTCCCTGAAAATGATTCTTCTGTCAAATACTGTCAAGCAGAGACTTAGTGAATGACACAGAAAACTGTTTGTTTTTGGCCAGCAACTTTGCTTCATCTCCTTGCCTGTCTTTTTGAAATAGATACATTCCTGGGTTTTGATATGCAGCATATATGACCCATAGATGCTGTAGCATATATGACCTTGCATAGACCACTGCAAACTGAAGTTGCATCCACTCCGTGGTTGAAGTAACTTATTACAGATCATTTACCTCCTCTACCCAGAGATTCATGCCCTCCTCTATTTCTACTTAAAAATTTATATTATAAAAGATAGTTTTAAAAAATTAACAGTATAAGTTTGTATCTGCCTTGTAGCTCATTTATTTGTTGCTATTTTCCCCCCACATATGTCAGAGTGAAGTTGAACACGTATCTTCTGTCCGCTCACTATTCACATGTATTCGAAGTGCGGTTCATCTCACCTAAATATAGCCTTAAGTTTAGTCTCATTTGGTCCTGTCATCATGGGAAGACATAAACACCTCCAGAAAATGATTCATCCCACTTGCTGCAAGCATTTGTCCTAAGAGGTAAATTACCTCCATTTTTTGGCTGACGGACTACCAGAATGTAGAAGCCTAACCTCTACAGGTCTGGGATTAGGAAAGATAAATTCTTCCACTTTCCATCATTTACCTTTAGTTTGAGCATTTAAAAAAAGTATTTACAGTGGCTTTCATTTTAGCTTTATCTGTGGAAGGGTACCAGTGAGACTTAAAAGGCAGATTTCATTGACTTCCTTTGGTTTAAGATTTTAATGATAGGCTTCAGCTAAAGTTTGCTTCTGCTAACTGCTATGCATAAATGCAAAAAGAACAAGGAAGAATTTATAACCTGAAGACAGGATTGATGCATTGAAAGAAAATGGAGGGATTATTTCTTTTGGGAGAACGATAAAGACACACAGACTGAGTGACTTGTTCAGGTGGTAAAGCAGAAGTAGCAAATGGGCCAAGATTCATTGATCACAGTTTAGTGCCCCAGGCTCAAGTCAAACTTTTTTTTCTCCCAAGGACCCCGGTAATGGCATACATGCCTTCCTCCCACCTTTTTTACTCCTTGTTGTTGACTAAGTCAGCTTGAACGGACATGAACTCCTCAATGAGTATGTGTGCTTCCTTGACATAATTTAAGTAAGTGAATCGTAGAGTTCCCATAATTATACAGAAACACAGGTTTTAGAAGGACAGGATTGAGCTGTTTAGTTATCTGTAGCTCCACACATTAATAAAGATAACCAAGTTGCCGATTATTAATAGACTTTTGAAAGTCTCAACTTTACGGTATTTTATTTACAAGATTACTTTGTAAAACAGCCTCCAGAAAAATACCTGTTATTAATATGAACATTACATTATTCTCTTCTTTAATTTGGACATGGAGGGGCTGTAAATTAAAATGATTCTTTCTTCAGATGTGTCTCTGTTCAAGTGAATTACATAGGCAATCTTAAGCAAACTGGCAGTTTTCTAATAGAGCAACATTCTATTCCAAGAGAGCTTCCAAAAAGATTTAAATTAGATGTTAAATGAGACACCTGGAATTCACATATCTATCTTAGCTCCTTAGGCAAAAATAACAAGATAATAACTTGATCAGCTCAGAGGATTTGGTGCTTTATTGCAAAATGTGTTCCTTTTAAAATGGATCAGAATTGCAGTTCGCACTCTCCATATTTTAGACTGCTTGTCTGTGTGGAAGGTTGAGATGAATGGCTTCTTGGGAGAAGGAAAAAAGAATCCTCAGTGCTTTGAGAGCACACAGATAAATATGCAGTGTGAATAAACTGTTTTGAATGTGCAGTGAATGGATAACTTTTTTTTTTTAACAAAAGTTTTCCTAATATTTCTCTACATCTGCATCAAATATTACTGCAGTGACGGGAAGGTCAAGACAAAGGCACATGAATAAGTCTATACTTTCCATTGCTATGCTGAGTACAGGAGGGATAGATTTGATTTTGTGGAATCCCAATGAAGTTTTAATGTAATTTAAAGTACTGCAATTGAAATTATCTATAAATGGTATGTGGTTGCAAACACTGTTACAGCCAAAGTAGCTGAAAAAATATTTGCATATTGCATTATATTTTAGAAGGATGTTCTGGTCTTCAACGAAGGAAAAGCAGGTAGCAATGAAACCCAGTTACTGGTACCAGTTACCCAGTTGCTGGTACCCTTCCTGACATGGCGATTTAGTAAGCTATGCCCATGTGAAAGATGAAACTGGTCATGACTGGTGAGCAGGTGGAAGGACCTGACCTAGCCTGGGTGGGGAAAGAGAGCCTACCCGCCTGCCTTGCTCCATGTAAACTTTTCTTGAATGTGCTATTTATAAGAGTGAACTATGGTTTACCTGTAATAGTCTGTGGATATAAGCAAGACAGTGTTTGCATGCAGATGTAATACCTTTTGCTAGACCAGTTCTTTCCACAAATGTTCATTGCCTATTCATAAATGCATATGGTTCGCAGTTCTGCAACTAAGATGATTTATATGCTACAGCACCTATGGAAGACAATGTAAGCCAGGTCCCTAAAGCACTGAAAAATATAGACATTTAGTGAAAATTAGGTAAAACCAGACAAATATTCTGGTTATGTTACTACAACTCCCATGTAGTGGCAGTAGTTTTTAACAGGGATGTAGACACTTGCAAAATATTCACCACCATGTCTAATGGTCAGATGCCTGGCCACTGGCAAGCAATCTACCTACTACACCTATCACTTACTAGATGGCATTAACTGAATCCATGCATCTTCTTCCAAAATGCTACCAGAAATTGTGTGGGATTCTGCGTTTCTAAATTGAGTAGTGACTGTAGGATGCTGAGTGTTTTTCCTCTGTTGAACAAAACAAGCAAGTGTACGCTTAACTTCAGACACTTACGTAGTCGCTGGTTTGAATATGGATTCATCAGACATTTGGAAATAAGCATGTGTTTAAATATTTTGCCGATTTGGGGCTGTCTTTGAGATCTGCTGTCTATCATCACGGCTGAAATTTCTAGACATTTTCTCCTGTCCTCAGGAAGCATTTCTGTACTGCTTGGGCAGTGACTATGCCTCTCCCCCTGCAGTTCTGCAATTCGTTTTCCGCAGCTACTTACCATAAACCTTTTGTGCCGTGGCCCCCTGCATGGAACTGTTTTGGGAAACATGTTATATTAGTATCAGATGCAAGTACACTGAAATTTAATGTAATATTAGCCCTGATTTTAAGGATATGGAATCTGTCTTTGAAATTTAACATAGCTGGACATAACTTGTTCATATCCCTGCAGCCCTGCTGCTACAAGTGCTAGAAATGTAATAGATCTGTGCAAAGGAGGTTTTTAGATTCCTTGCCTCAAGCAAAATTAGCTAATGATATTCATTCAGATACAGTACAGTACAAATGGGGCACATTAAATGACTTAAATTAGGTCAAATTGAATAATTGAATTTATTCTTTTACTTAAAAACAACTTAATCAGCTGAGAGTGCTGGAGTTTGAAAAAATAGGTTAATTAAATATTAATTAAAAGTTTATACTTTGAGCTTCCTTGTCATTACTTTGCAACAATATTATTTATGTATCTGTTTTTCCTCATTGCAGCTACTAGGGGATGATGTTCAACCATTCTCACTTGATGAAGAATTTGATTATGACAATGTGCCTTTGACTCCTAAGTTCTCTGAAGCTGACCTGAAGGCCCTAACAGACTTGTCTGAAGAGAAGAAAATGGAGACAGATGTA